TTTGTTTTCGCTCTCTGCTTCATCTTGTCCGAGTCGCTGCCGCCTGCCGAGAGATGGAGCCCCGCAAACCAGCCATCTTTTGATCCCTCTCCAACTCGGCTACGAGGCAACGATACCTCCCGCCCGGGGCTGGAGGAAGTGGTAGCTCACTGTGTAGCTCGCGTCAATAAACCAACTCGTAACTGACCTGCGCCAGGACCCCGCATGGGGTGGGGGATGCGGAAAATTTTCGCACGTGTCATCATGTGTACATGGTCGCGACTGTCGATTCTGTACGCCTGATGAATTGCCCACCCCCACCCCGCGGTAACCATACTGGTGGTCGAGTAAATCATGTTGTGCGGGGTGGAGAACTCTCGCTCCGCGCAAGGGGGATGATCGCACCACGTTGTGTTCAAATGGTCAAGCACTCTCGAGGCAGTTACACAGTGCTTACAGCTGTCTCAGGAAGTGAAAGCACCAAAAAGTAAATTAAGTCATACGCAGCTGTCATCCGTACGCAAGGAAGTAAGCACAAGATGACGAAAACCCTTAGCAGGATGCAGCGCACCCTTCATGCGACTCGCCGAATACCTCACGGCGCTTCGCGCTTGGTGATGTGAGAGCCTGGTCCGGTGAGAACCCGGCGTGCTCCGTCCCGGCTTTCTAGGGATGCGAGGTCAATGGTCTAACGACTACGGCATGCACGACTATGAGTACGCCCCCCCCCCACCCCGCGTACCCTTCGTGCGGTATGCGCGCACTCGTTTTTCCACACGACCACGTTTGCCAAAGGAATGCGTTGACACTCCCCCCTTGTGTTGACTGTCCGAAAATGTGTTGCTGACTTTCTGACGATTCGTCCCACAGGTGGGAGAGGAGCTACGCTTCCCGTCGTCAATGGCCACTCTCGACGGGGAGCACATCATGACCATGGGGGTAGACGGCAGCTTACTGCTCTCAGGCAGGCAGCGGTACGATGCTTTCCACAACGAAATGGCCCAGGCCGCCGACAACCAACCTTCGAGGGAACTCGACACGGAAACCTTTGTGTCGGGCCTGAACCCCGACTACGACGGTGTTGACCCTCGGGCCGACCTCAAGGTCCTGGCCGCCGCCGATCCGGCACAGGCCATGCGCTCCATCCACGACAAAATGCAACGGATGGCGCGGCCAAAGGCGGTCGGGAACGAGGGGGAAAAGACAGCCGACGGTGCTTCCGAGATGGATAGGAAACTCGAAGATTTTCTTCGCGAGAGGAAGAAGAAGTCGGACACGAACAAGGAGAAGGAAAAGAACGAGGACGAGGACGAGGAGAAGGTCCCGCCGCAACAGCCAGAGGGCACGGCTCAAGGTGCAGTCACACTCTGAACACTGCGCACCATTGTTGTTTGAGGAAGCCCTTGATTCGCACGCTCCCGTGTCCCGTGGATTTCGGTTGTTGCCCTTGTCGCGACGGAAAGAGAGGATGACACGACCGAAACTGTCGCTGTCAAGGCAAGGGTTGTTCCTCTCGAGGCATGTTTGTCACCGTCGAGGCGAGCGCGGTGCTATTCAGGTCCAGGATGGAAAATAACCTTACCTGTCACACGCGAATTCCTTGCTCAAAGGTCTGCACGACCAATATTGTGAGTGATCGGGCGTATACATACCCCATTGTTCGATAGAAAAACACGCGCAGTATATCGAAGAAATTGAAAACTCAAGCACTGCCTTCATCTTTCTCGCCAATTGTTTCTCAGCAGCGGGCCGTGGCAGCGGCTCATCGTCCGGAGAAACGAACGGTGGAAGGACCACCGACAGCGACACCGAAGACAGAGGGAGCTGTACCAGCAGAAGCAGCAACAACGGCGACGAGAGCGAGGCCCCAGCAGTGGTGGCGATGAACGGCCCCAGCAGCCCACCGCCGGGGTATTTTGGGGACGACATCGTGCTCCAGGTTACGAAGACGGGGGACGTGGTGAGTGGGCGCATTGAAGGAGCTGATGTTTGTTGTTGCTTTATATCCAAGAACCTTTCAAAACTGCAAGTCAGCGGCGACACTGTCAGCATTGAGATAAACTCGTGGGCCCCGACCGCCGTGCATGCTCTCTCCGTGGGGGCACGAAGAAATCTCCACCGATGGGCGTAGTGAAGCACGTCCCACAACGTTCTTGTCCTTCACGCATAACGAATAGTCTAGACACAGAAAGCAAGGGTTCTACAGTAGCACGCTCTACTTCTTGAGGTCCGCCGCCAAGTGTTTGCCTTTCCACGTTTCGAGTATCTTTTTTGTTGATACTTTTGTTCTTCGTTCTAAAAAGGGCCTCAGGATAATCAGGCCTACATAACAGCATCTACAATATGTATTCATTCATCACGAACCCGTCTCGATCGTATTCTGGACTAGAGTACGAGCTACCGACATGATAACGCCAACCTCTTGTGATGCTCACCTCTCCGCTATGCTACCGCCGCCCTCTGTTCAGGTGGTGACGGTCGAGGGACGCATCGTCGTTGAAAAGCGCGACCCTCGTAAAAGAAAAGCCGAGGAGCTCGACCACCCGAGTGGGGGAAAAGAGAACTGGCTCGAGAGGCAGTTGTGGAAGGCCAACCCGCTGGCGACGCTGAGACGAATCATCCGCCGACACCGCCGACGAGGAGAAGGAAAAAGAAGCGGGGGCAGCAACGGCATAAACGAGGACGTCAGCTTCGGCTACTCTCTCCACGTTGTGCAGAAAGGTTTCGAGGTGCAGCTCGACGGCGTGTTCGTGTGGGGGTGGGACCTCGACAAAGAAAACCCGCAGCCGTTTGACGTTGGGTACGCGCTCGCTACTTGTGAGTTCTGTTGGCGCCACCCGCATTAGATGTCCGCATTTTTTATGGAAGAGGGGGACGGGATCGAAGTATCCTCGGCAAAGATCTCGGAGCTCGACTTTGGCATCGATCTTAACAAACCAAGCAGAAAGGACAACTGTTTTGGTAGCTCAAACGGGTTCATTGCGCCCCTGAGGAATCGATTGGCGAGGCGCGCCAAAAAAGCTCCGGGAAGGTGTGACGACGGAGTTCGAACTGATTTGTTCCTTGCGTTATTTCTTAGACGATAGTTTCGGGCGTTTCATTAAAGCGAGAAAATATTCGAGTTTTGTTCTTGTTCAGCTGCGGGGCAGGCCCGATTCCCCTTGTCTGCGGATGGTTCCTGCTACTATCTGGTGTGCTGGTCGATCAGTAGTTTTGTTTTAATCGTCGGTCCACGTGCACGTACTCGCTGAAAAAGGAGATCGCGGGTTGCATGATGCTGTTAACTCCTGGGCTTACTTCGGTTTTCTTCGTGGCGTAATACGTCCACAGCCAGCGAGCGAGAAAACGTCGCTAGGGGTCTTGTCCCGTGCTTTTTTGCTGTTGGTTGTTGACATTTGACACGTGCATACAGAGATCTCCCTGATAGAGCGCAGGGGCGCCTGTCATGGTGCGTGTGCCGGCTAACACAGTTCTGATGAACGGCGTGGGTTGACTGGCGGTGACAATAGTGAACAAAACTTCTGTTATGCTAGCGTTGATTGACGCTTTCGCGTCGCTGCCGTGACCGCGGCATGGAAGCTATTTCACGACTGGGAGATTACGTATTTTGTTGTGAAGATAGCTCGGTTTGTACCCACCGGTGGTGGTGTCTAGCGCTACCTCAATCGGAACCGGGAACCCCAACCACAGTAGAGTATTCTTTCTGGTGATCTTTCCCGTCTTCGTCGGAAGTAGCATACTGTTCCCCTGTGTGGTGAGTAATTATTTGTGGTTCAGCATGGCGTGTGGGACGAAACGAGCAGGGTCGAGAAACGCATGATGGATAAGGCGTCGGTGTGGACTCTCGTTCTGATACCAGTTTCGGCAGGAATCGCACCTTTAGTTTGACCTTCGAGCACAGATAGCCGCATGATAGGAGAGGGCGTTAGTAGTAGGTTTGATTTACACAGTAGATTTCACAGTGGGTCGCGTGTGAAGGGTGTGTAGCCCCGCGATGTCGTGGCACTGTGGTGGGAAGTGTGCCGGGATGATGACGTGCTACACACTTGTTTTTGGTGAAAGTAGGCCAGATGGCAAAAGGAACAATAACATCGCTCGTCGTATGCGCATAATGCCGAAAGATGCATGAGAGTGTGGCAATGATCGTTCGGCTGGTCTAACGATGTGAACTGGGTGCCCCCTGAACACAGCATCCCCGTCACTATTCATTGGATTATATGGACTCGAATCCGCCGGCCAGGTACGTCGTCGGGAGAAACGGTAGGATTTTCATTCCTCCTCCCCTAGCGCACCCACCGAGCGAGGTGCGCGGCGGCAGCGAATATTTTCGCAGCCGGACAACACACGCGACGTGCCTAGAAATACAAGGCACACCAACGAGACGTGTAGCATCACGCGTTTTGCTTACACCACTGCTCCTGAAAGTATCACTCCACGTCGAGAACACCGGCGCTGGAATAAGTATGTATGGGGGGATGCCGTCGTCGTGGTCGTGAACGGCGTTCAATCGCGTGATGAATGAACGGCCGCCTGTGAGTAAAATTTACCCAACAACGGTTGTCCGCATTCGTTTTCTATTCCTCCAACATTCGTTATGGGCCAAGGATCGGGTGCAGACGACACTTAATTATCCTCACCGAAGCATGCTCTTGTTTCTGAGCGAGACGACCGAGGCGCCTGCTACTTCGTTTCCGTGAGAGGTCCGATTTTTGAACGGGGATCCGCTTGATTGTGGGCATGTTCTTGCATGTTCCAACAACATTGCAACTACCTAAAGGTAGGCGGGTTACAGCAGTGCCTCGCTCACGCAATAGACACAAATGTAGCATATGGCGGACTTTCCTTGTCTCTGGATCCTATGCGCCAGCGGCAGGTAGCCCTCGCTCGCCCAAGCTCTCGCCGGTGGGGTCCACACAAAGGGGAGAAGTGTAAATGTTGAAATCAACCCCCCTCTTGTCGTAGCCAGTGCGTCCCCCCCCTGCCCGCGCTCTCAGAAAACGTGGTATCGTCAGCAGAGCAGTCCTGCCTGAGAGTGTGCGGTCCGTTGGACGGGAGCTCACCCGACCTCCATCATCTCCGCGAGAGACACCAGCAAGGTTGTAGTTCGGTGTTCTCCACGTCTCACTCCAACTTCTCTGGCGCTGGACCAACTCTGGCGGCGTGCTTTTTTCCGCCAGGGGGCTAACACGACGACCTCAACGACAAATACTTCCGCCGACAACAATCATGGTCGCATGTCGGCATCAAGGATGCGCCGAGCGTGCGTCGTTCGGCGTTGAAGGGGGCCGTGTTAGGGCGGCAGAATTCTGCTCTGGACACGCGGAAAACGGGATGGTAGACTTCTGCAAGAAGACCGGCGGCCATCCAGGCTGCTGCATGGAACATCCGTCGTGCGGCATGGAGGGTTGCACGTACTGCTCCCGTCACGGCAATCCGGGGATGCTGGTGAACTTCGATGTGAAGAGGTGCGGTCATCCGGTGTGCACCAAGTGGCCGTCGTACGGCGTAGAGGGTTGCAAGATGGCGGGTCTCTGCCCTCAGCTTTCGAAGGACGGAATGACCTATGTAGTGGAGGGGAGAGGGCAGAGCCCGCGGCAGCACGCAGACGACAACGAAACTCTGCCTTTCGGCGTGGGCGGTAGCAAGGCGGCGGAGTTCTGCCCACATGCGCAGGAGGCGAATACGGCTAACGTCGGTCAGCTGGGCCGCAAACGTCCAGCTTGTGGGGTGGAAGGCACGCCGACCATCAAGTTCGGTGCATCCAACTCGAAGGCTGGGACGGCGAACGTCGTAGCCAGCAAGAGGAAGAAGCTGTGCAACCATCCCGGGTGCAACACGAAGCCTCTGTTCGGGGAAGGGGGGACCGAGGAGACCAAGTTCTGCGGGCATCATTCGAAACCGGGCATGGTGAACTTGACCACCAAGAGGTGCGGCCACAGCGGCTGCGATGCGACACCGTCGTACGGCGTGGAAGGCTGCAAGGTAAGGGAGTTCTGTCCGCGTCATGCGAAGCCAGGCATGGTGGATGTCGTCGCCAGGAGGTGCGGCAACGCCGGTTGCTCGACGATGCCGTCGCACGGGGTCGACGGCAGCAAGATGGCGGAGTTCTGCCCGCGGCACGCGAAGGACGGAATGGTAGATGTCTTCAAGAGGAAAAGGTTCAAGCTCACTGTGGCGAGCTTGGCAGCCAAGCAAACGAACAAGGTAGTAACCCTCAGCCGTGTGACCGCTCTCCGTCATTCTGGCTGCTGCTGTTCTTGTGTTCATTTAGAAGTCGGTTGCCATCTACGTAAGACCTTTTGTACCGGTCAAGAAAAAAATCACATCCCGCTTTTTGTGGATGTAGTTGTTTGCTTCTGTACAGCAGTCGTGAAGAAGGCAACAGCGGTCAAACTCCCCAAGGTATTCAAAAGTTTGTGTTTTTTCAGGACCAAGAGATGCCGTGGAATGTAGAAGCCGGCGGGATACACACGCTGCCGTGCGGGCCTCCGGGCTTTTGTGTGTACACCACTTTGGTCGCACAGCGCACTGCTGTAAACTCACTCGTAGGTGTACACGCCGGTAAGTTGGAGCGTTTTAGTGCTTAGCGGTTCTCGCCCGTTTACATAAAGTGTCGTCGATTCATTGGTCAGCTGTCTGAAGGGTTCCCTGCACTGTAGCATCACCACGGCCTTTGGGCAGAAGCGCGGTGTACAGCTTGTGGGCCGAACGAAGGTGTCACCTAACGGGCACCGACATTGACGATGAGTTAGATATCAACGGGTGCCGTGCCGACCACATTGCGTTTGTCGTGTTTCTAGAGTTGTGCAGCGTTCAACAGCTTGGCGCAGCTTGAGAAGCCAGGTTGCAATTTGTGCTTCCGTCCGTTCGTGGCGCGAACGCCCCGTACCCGACGCGGCGCGCGTGTTGACGTGCAGAACACGCCACCGACCCCATGGTAGTGAATTGTTGTTCTTTTGAGTTTCGGACACTCACTCACCAACCCTGGAGACCTCCCTGCCTTCGAAAGAACCCCACCTGCGCCACCCCTACCTAACACGGGGAATAGTACTGCTGTGGACCATCGTGTATTTTTTTTTTTTTCTCCCATCATTGGACTCTGTCGTCTGCCCCTCTGGCCCCTATCCTCCACTTCTACTAGCTAGTCGACCCAACCGGGATCACATAGGAGGGGGATGCTGGACCCCCACCTCCGGTTCCTGTCTGAGGTATTATTATCGCGAGAATGATACAGCAATCCCTTTCCTCGCGACTTACGAAGTCGATTATGGTTTACTAACATCGAGCTTTGCAGCGCGTCGCTTTCATCCTAGACCAGGATGTATTTAGTGAGAAAAAAACTCACTCTGCCGGGACTCGAACCCATGACCCGGCCCTTAGCAGGCTGCGAGGTTGCCCACTAGACCACCGGGGCGACCGGTGTATTGTCACTTGGCGATTGAGGACACGGACTCAGGCGTGTCTGGCAGCAATACCTGGGGCCTCAAGTTTCGCTGGTTTTTTTTCAGCCGCTTCTCTCACACACTTGCTTTGGCCTCACCGCTCCGCATCGTTCGCTTTCTAGAAGCGTTTACACTCCGAGAAGAAGAAGGAAGGCAAGGGGACAGAGAGCGCTACGGTGAATGAGGACGACACACTTCTCGGTCGTTCCAGCGAGCGGCACAGCAGGGTGATGAAGAGGAGAGCGAAGGGGGAAGGCAAGAAGACAGAAGGGAAGGCTAGGGTGGATGATGATGACAAATTACTCGGACGTTCCGGTGGCGAGCGGCGCAGCAGGGCGATGAAGAGGAGAGCGAAGAGGACCCCGCGGCGCGGCAGCGCTGCTGAGCGGGAGGGCAGGGGTGCGGAGGCTCGCCGAACCGAGGTGTGTGGGGCGAAGTTTGCCTTGCTGCTGGTCCCTTGTGTCGGTCGAATTTGTTTTTTTTGCGCTTCGCGAGTTCAATTGTGAGGCGAAAGAGCAGACGCAGCTCACGATAATGAGTGTATCACGTTGCTGGAGGTGTTTTTAGTTGTGCAGGAAAACACCAACAGAAAAATGCTTTTGTACGTGGTGTGTGTGAAGTCCTCCCAGTCTGGGGGGGGGTGTACTCATAGTCGTGCATGCCGTAGTCGTTAGACCATTGACCTCGCATCCCTACAAAGCCGGGACGGAGCACGCCGGGTTCTCACCGGACCAGGCTCTCACATCACCAAGCGCGAAGCGCCGTGAGATATTCGGCGAGTCGCATGAAGGGTGCGCTGCATCCTGCTAAGGGTTTTCGGCATCTTGTGCTTACTTCCTTGCGTACGGATGACAGCTGCGTATGACTTAATTTACTTTCTCGTGCTTTCACTTCCAGAGACAGTTGTAAGCACTGTGTAACTGCCTCGAGGGTGCTTGACCATTTTAACACAACGTGGTGCGATCATCCCCCTTGCGCGGAGTGAGGGTTCTCCACCCCGCACAACATAATCTATTCGACCACCATTCATGGTTTCCGCCAAAAAAAAGAGGTAAAATTATATAAAAACAACCTGGTTGTCGAGTGCACGAGGTGAATTGGCTTGTTTCGCAACGTCGTTGCCAAGCGACGAAAACCCAACCCC